TAATGACGTTTTAAACTTGTAATTCGGGATAAATTTTTATCTATCGAAAATGTCAAAATTCAATTCGAGATAAGAATAACTTTACTGCACTGACATTATACTGATTGGAAAATTTTACAAAACACAAACTGTAACGTGATGCCGGGCGTGTCTTCACAAACATCCATCTAGATATCACATAATAACGTCGCCACGTTCCACTACTACTTTAGGTTTCTCCGACGCTAATTTTTTTTTTCCTTCTCCGCCCTGCAATGCGGCGTCTGGCAGCCACGAGCGACCAGATCTCGTCACCAGATGCCATTTGAGTCGCCCACCTCGATAACGGGCGATGGTTAAATGCCTCATAACTAACTCAATCTGGTGCTTCCTAATTAAATATCTATCGTTTAATTAAGAATGATTTACGGACGGCAGTCAGTTAGCGAGTCGACCAACCAGCCGGCCGGGCTGCTAGTCGGACAGGCACTGCTTGTATCATTCCATGCGCCTTGGCAATCAATGCAGGAATTATCCTCATTAGGTCGATCCGCGGTCTGCGTTCTCTGCGCTCGTTTCTACTCGCTACCAACTTCTCCTCGCGAGATCCGGAGACAGAGGAGCTCGCGGAAGAAAGAGAAAAGGAGGGAAGAGAGATGGCAAGGAGACAGAGGAGGAAGGATGCGGAGAAGTCAGAGACAAGGGGAAGAACGGGGCGAGCTATTAGATGAGAGCTGGTTGCGCGCAGCTCGAAGAAAAACTGGAAATCTGTGGCTCTCGATGGGTCGGAGGTGGGGAGGGCCGAGGGGAAACAGCTCTGGAGTACCGTAGGGCCCGTCGCATCCCCCCCTTTCCGCCTCTGTCCCGCTTCCTCCTTCCTCTCTTCCTTCTCTACCGCAAAAAGGAGTCGCTGACTGCGAGTGACAACTTAGCGAGCCGGAGCTCACCTCGTCGTCCAGTTGCTCGGCCACACACAGACTGTCCCGGCGTTATGACACGTCCTTTCCTGCGATAGAATTCCGCGAAGGACTACTCGAGACAAGGATCTCTTTCGTCGAAGCCGCTATGCGCGTTCCGCTTATTAACGCGAGGTAAAATTTGCTCCGATAGTGTCTTAAAATCAATTCAGTAGACGCATTCTCAGATGCATCTATTCTTTATAGAAACTTTATTCGCTCAAATTTATCGTGAAAACAGCTCGGAAGAACTCACTCACATAATTGTCGTAAAATCGCTTAAAAACCGTTTAATCGATGCCTCCGAAATTGCGCGAAACACGAAAAAGCCGAGTTAAGATTGATCGTTGGCAATAGACGCCCTTCCACGGCCGATGCGCGAATGTTCGGTCTACGCGCTTCTATCAGTCATATGGTCATACAAAAATGTAGGTAAGAGAAGCTAACACTGCCATATGTCGGGCGCGAGGAGCTCGCGTTTACGTTACGATGTACAGTCGCCCTGGGCGACAGGGGTAGCGGTTGAAATGCGCTTTATACCCACCGAATTTCGGTCTCTAGTATTCTCCTTCTCTCCTCTTCGCTCTCCCATCTTCTCTTTCGCTCTGTGTGTACGCGCGAGTGGGCAATGCATACACGTGTACGGCCTCGTTATGTGCGTACGCATACATGCATGGATGTACATATATACATTGACTCGCCTATTTCTCTCTCTCACTTCTCCCTCTCTCTCTCTCTCTCTCTCTCTCTCT